TTTTTTGACAATTTTTTTTTCAATAAGTATAGTGAATGAAAAAAAAATAAATTTTTATTTATTTATTTTTTTTGTGTGTAAAAAAATTATCGATTTTCTAATTATGAATATTTTTATATATATATATACTGTATATAATAAATTCAATATTTTTAAAAATATATATTTTTTAATATAAAACAAATTTTTTAGTTTTTTTTTTAAATAATAGTTTAGTTAAGTTTATGAATATATTATTTTCGTATTTATATTCAAGAGTTTGCGTTTAAACAAAAACAAAAAATAATAATAAATTTTTTGTTTAATTTTATGAGACAATCTCTCTCTCTCTCTCTCTCTCTCTCTCTATATATATATATATATATATATAACTAATAAATTTCATATCAAGTCAATGACTATCAAAACTTAATAATAAAAATTGATAATATATTTTATTGATTGTTTATTTTATATATTTTTATTATTATACGATTATATAGAGTATATGACTGTTTATTAAATATTATTATTATTATTTTTTACTGATATTTACTATTAATATTATTATTATTACTAACAAATATAAATTATTTTATATCTTATAAGATAAATATAATAAAATTATTAAAAATAAATTTTATGGTATTTATTATTATTATTATTATTATTATTAAAAAAACAAAACAAATAATTTATCGTTTATTTGATTACATCGATATATAAGAGTTTACATAATTATAATGGCATTAAATTATATTTTATATATAAATATATAATTTATAATAATCATAATAATAATCTGTTTTATACACTAGTATAATGAGATAATATTTAATTTTTAAATAAACATTTTTTTAAATAGGGTTTTTTAAAAAAACAAAATTTTATATACAGTATTATCTCTACAAAAACATTTTAGTCACATAATATTTTTTTTTGAAATTGAAATTTTATATTTTTTTCACCCGTTTTAATAATAATAATAATTATATAAACAATGTTTTTTCAAAAACTAGTGATTTATGTTTTTATATTATTATTATTAGTAGTATTAGTAGTTAACTGACAACTTAAATGTTTTTGTAAATAAACAAAACCATTAGTTATATACACGATATATATATATATATATATATGTATTTATTTATATATATGATATAAACTGTTAAATATCATTATATGATATAATTTATATATTTATTATAATCTTATTTTACTTGTGTGTGTGTGTATATCAATAATAAATTGTTTTAAGCATTTAGAGAGAGAGAGAGAGAGAGAGAGAGAGAAAGAAAGAGAGAAATTGAATGTTAAAAAACACATTTTATATACAAACAAATCGTTTTACATTTGAAATTACATTTAAATATATATATATATATATAAACAAAAATAATTATACTTATTATACTAATGCCACTAAGTTAATGATAATTGAAGTTTAAGCTAAATTGAATGATAAAACAAATTATATACAATAATAACAACAAATACTACTACTACTACTACTACTACTACTACTACTACTACTACTACTACTACTACTACTACTACTACTACTACTACTACTACTACTACTACTACTACTACTACTACTACTACTACTACTACTACTACTATTACAATGATCAAGACATGTGTGCGCCCATCAAAAATAGTTAGTACTACTAATGTATCCTTATTTCTAATGTATGTATATATTAACAGAGAGAGAGAGAGAGAGAGAGAGAGAGAGAGAGAGAGAGAGAGAGAGAGCACTGACACAAACATAACTGTTCCCAACAAATGGCAATATTGTCTAACTCTATCTACTTATATACTAATATATATATATTTGTCTAATCAAATACAAGAGTGACTTTCATTTGACAATAATTTGTTTCAATAGATATATATATATATATATAGACAATAGATAAGTATAGTATAGTTTAGTCTAAACGATAATAATAATAATATGGATTGCAATGCGAGTCTCTCAGAGAAATAAATATAATAAATAAGACAAACCATTGGTTTGTCGTCCTTTTGAAATTCAATCATAAAAATTAGTTTCATTTGGCTCTCTCTCTCTCTCTCTCTCTCTCTCTCTCTCTCTCTCTTTCTTTCTTTCTCTCTCTCTCTCTAAAGCAATCTTTTATTTCTGTGGCTAATATAAACAAAAAGCCAAAAAAAAGTAACACAATTATCATATAGTAATATGCGATCCCTTATATAATAGTTTTTTTTTGTTGTTGTTTGACTTAATTAGATGAGATTGTCGTACAAATATAAACCCAGCAATTGTCTACCCCTACTCCCTCTCTACCCCTCCCCCAACAAACCGTATGGTCTTAACGTTTATTATTATTATTATTATTATTATTATTATATTTATATTATATTTATTCAATGATTATATACAATATTTTTTTCTCTTCATGTTGATATATACAGTATATACAAACAGTATAAAACTATAGCATATAATATATATATATATATATATATATATAGCTGTATATAACATAATAATGAAATTGAATGTCATATACACAGTGTATACAATATAAGCAAACATAATAGATAGTGAACTTTCAGATGACTGATAAATAGATAGATAGATAGACATTGAGATAATGTATGTGTGTGTATGTAAGTGTGTGTGTGTGTGTATGTATGTATGTGTGTGTGTGTGTGTGTATGTATGTGTGTATGTGAACTCAATTTTGCTGTTAAGTTCAAGAGTTAAGTTAAAAGTAGTATAAAATCAATTTATCATAAAAGCCATAAATCTTACATAAAAAGTGTTGTGTGTTTTGAGTAATAATAAATTATTGTCTGCCTTAGAGAGAGAGAGAGAGAGAGAGAGAGAGAGAGAGAGAGAGAGAGAGAGAGAGAATAGTGTTATATTAATTAATGTCATATTGAAAATGAAAAAAATCATTATTAGCTAAAATTTATATATAAATAAATAAATATATAAATGTATTATTAGTGTTGTTAGTATAGAATAATTAAGTTAATGGATAATTATTTCAAATAAAAATATATTTATATATATACAGTATATATACACACACACACAAAACCATGTACTCTATGTTATTTAATTTACTATTATATTTATTATATCACAAAATATTATAGTAATATACAATATATTCTCTATATAAATATATATATATACAATATATATATATATATAATATAAAAATTTGTGCCCTTAGGAGGGCTGGCAATCAAAGCTAATTAAAGTACTCATTCATGTCGTATATATATATATATATATATATATATAAACTTTTCATTACTCTCTCTCTCTCCCTCTCTCTCTCTCTCTCTCTCTATTATATTCAAACTAATTTCACATACAATGAACTCTCTGTGATATTGAATGAATGAATGATATATATATATAAATAAAAAAAAACTATTGCTATTAAACCCCATAAGAGTTTTGTTGTTTCTTTTAGTCAGTTCATTGTCAAAGTTTAGGTTCATATAATGTATACTAAATATACTGTATATATATATATATATATATAGTTTTTTTCTTAACTATTTCCCTGAAGACATTCACCAAAAAAAAAAAAAAAAAATTTCAACTATTTTTTGTTTCCTAACGTTATTTTTTTTGGTATCTTTCGGTTAGTTTTTATATTTTCTTTGACTAAACTTTTTCTATATATATTGTATATATATATATATACAATATATAGATTTTTTTTGCTTCAAACATATTCTGTACAGAATTTGTAATTTTTTTTCGCCAACTATTTTACAAAATTATATTTATTTTTTTATTATTATTTTTTTTGGTAGTTTGGTTTGACTCTTCAACAACAACACAAAAAAAAAATGATAACTCCTATAGCATACTAACATATATTAGACACACACTTATACATACATACATACTGTACATACACACAAAAAACATGCTAACAGTTATTATTATATTTATTTCAATTCAATTGTCGAAAATATGGTTTCAATTTGTGATTCACAATAGAGAGAGAGAGAGAGAGAGAGAGAGAGAGAGAGAGAGAGAGAGAGAGAGAGAGAGAGATGAGTGATGAAAGAGAGAGAGAAAGAGAGAGAGAGAGAGATTGGATAAAATACTAAAGTATTATTTAGTAGTATTTTTTTGAAACCCATTTTTTCTGGGGTTTTTAACAAATAAAACACATTAAGGTTTTATTTTATTTATTTTTTTTTTGGTGAAAATTGTATGTAAAAAATTATTTTATTTTTTAAAAGGTATGCCTAATATGTATTGGTTGCCCAATTGAATACAGAATATATTCTGTACTTTTATTTACATTATTATTATTATTATTTAAGTAAAAAAATTTAAATTTCCTCTTGTTATACACATTTTTAGTATATACATACTGTACATACATTTTTCAACAAAAAAAAACTCAAATTACAGTAGTATTGATGTATACATTAGATGTATTGGAGAAAATCAAATTTAACATTTTTTTGTTGCTGTATTAGTATTGTATTATTTTATTTAATATATTATAATAATTTTTTTTATTGATATACATGAAAGCATACATGTCTAGCATTAATAATTGATTCAATTAGAGAGAGAGAGAGAGAGAGAGAGAGAGAGAGAGAGAGAAAAGAGAAAGAGAAAGAGAAAGAGAGAGAGAGAGAAAGAGAAAGAGAGAGAGAGGCCACAAAAAAAATTATTAAATAATAGTTAAAATAAATTTATAGATACAGTATTTTAGTATCAGTTTTATATATGTCTAAAACAAAGAAAATTACGAAACATTTTTTTTTTGTTGAAAAATTTTAATTTATTGTTCAAATTCAATGACATCTAACAAAAATTTTTATATAAATCATATTAAAACACATAAAAATAAAAACTAATTTCTATATATTATTTAATAATAATAATAATAATAATAAAATAATGATAAATATATTTTTAAAATTTTATTATTTATTAATTAATTTCAATTGTTGTATATATAATAATATTGATAGATACCGGTGCATATATATATATATTTAAATATATATATATATATATAACTTAGCCAAACAAATAGCTCATAATTAAATAGGTAGTAATAGCTACTACAGTGGCAACAAATATCGACCACCAGTCCCCCTGTTGCTGCCCGCCGTCGACCACTGGCCCGTTATTAATAACCCCATTGTCAGCGGCATCGGTATCGCCCGTTCCCAGCCGACTCTTATCCAGTCGACCAATTCGATAGCCAATCATCAATGTTCGGGCATCGTCCGAGTGGCCAATTTCGGCAAACCGTTGGCTGGCATCGGTACCGGCCACCTCCCTGAGCACCTCATCGCCGCCTGGATGTTTGTCAATGAATTTGCTGATATCGTAGACCAGGCCGTCGATGACTATCCAAAACCCCCGGTCCTGTTCCTGATGTCCGACCACTTCATCCATGTCCAGCACTTTTAGCTTTTTGATGTCATTGTTGTTGTTGTTGTTGTTGTCATTATCATCGGTAGTGATCTTATTGTCGATCATTATATTAATATATTATTATTTTTTTGCAATTAGTAATTAGTAATTAATAATAATAATAAATAATAATAACAATTTTTTATGTTATGTTTGGGATAATTATTATTATTTTATTTATTTTTTTTTAATTAATATAAAATGTCTATCCATATGGTATTTATATAAAAATTTTAATTATCAAAAAAAATTATTACTCAAATATTGTATTAAATTACATTTTTTTAAAAAAAATATAATAAAATATATAATAATATTATTATTATTATATTAAAATAATAATAATAATTACAGTTAATAACTCTATATAATATTTATTAATTATTCAATATATATATATATATATATATATATATATATATATGAGAAATATTGTTGAGAAAAAATGTTTTACAATTAAAAATTAATAAAACACATTAATTTGTTGTTGTTTTATGTATGTAATGTAATAATCAAATCAACAAAAATAAACTGTATATAAATCTATCTATTATTATAATATAATAAACATATCAATATATATATATATATATATATATATATATACAGTATATAGACATCAATACTATTCAATTAACAAAACAAAAATTACCAGAAATTTCAATCAATACAAATCATTGATAATATTCATTAAATATATATATATATAATAAATGGTAAAAACTTATAATTAAAAATAATAATAATTATAATTATAGAGTAATTTTTTATAATCCTAATAATACTAAAAAAAAAATTATTGATATTTATAAAATATGGTTTGTCACCCCCCCCCTCTAATGTTATGTATTATGTTATATTCAAAACTTATTTATTTATTTTTAAAAAAAAAAGTTATTATTATTTATTAATATTAGACATTAATTTCCAGTACTGTCGATACGGTAACAAACCCTACATAGACTATCGTACAGATGATACCGATCCTTAAGTTTAATCGCCAATTGCTTAGTTTCAAGCTAATCAATAGGGCTGCACATGTGATCAACAGGGTCAGGGATGTCAAGGGTAGTGCTTGACTCTGGATGGGTATGGATGTATTGGCCAGCGATTGAAACCCACTGCCCGACGTTATGATCATAATCAACGATTTCAGTAGCCAGGGTACGCCCAAACAAAACAGTATATCAAATATATTGCTACCAATCGAGTTACAGATGGCCATATTGGCCAGCCCGGCTTTTTTCACAATCAAATAGCTGGATATAAGCTCCGGTATGCTGGTACCGGCAGCCAATATAGTTATACCCGATACCGTATCAGGTATGCCGATTGTATAGCCTATGTTGGTTTGATGGGTTGAAATGATGTGTGAAAATAAATAATTAATTATTTTTAAAAAAAACAAAACAAAATAATTCTAATATTGATATTTTTTTAAAAAAATAAAGTTTGATTAACTTATATTAACTAAATATTAAATTAGTTGTTAATATTATTATTGATAATTATTTAGATATTTTATTTACTATATATATATATATATATATATATATATATATATATCTATAATACTGTATATGTGTAGGGTATTAGTTTATAGTGTGTATTATACTGTAATAATCATAAACTTAATTAATATTTATCATTAAAAATTAATTGTTATTTTAAAGTTTTTTTTAAGAAAAATATAAAAATTTTATTTTACGATAATTGTTTCAATAAATTTCTAAATGTTTAAATAATTTTTTTAGTTAATAAGTTTTTTTTGTGTTTCTAATTAATATCAACTATCGTTTTTTTTATCAAATAATAGTTTTGATTTTTTTAGTTAAGTTTTTTTTGTGTATGAATATAAAGAAAAATTACTAAAATAAAAATACTATATATTTATTATATATTGAAATTGAAAAATCTATCTAAATATCTATATAATAATAATAATAATAATAATAATAATAATAATAATAATAAACTATAGGAAAAAGTATATCAATTTTTTGTTTTTGATGTAAAATATAAATTAAAAAAAATGTTAAGTTTAAGTATTATAAACAAAATTAATTAATTAATTAATAATAATAATAATAATTACCGACAACAGTGGTCATCCAGACTACTACATAGGTTAGGGCCGCTATCCAGACAATGGACATCAAAAATGTTACCACAAAACAGTATTTGGTTGCCTTCGGCAACGTTATGGCAAACAGTACGGTCATCGGGAACAGTAAGGTCCTAATTAGCCAATGATCTGTCCAATCGCCGCCACCGCCATCATCATTGTCCTCGACTTTTGCGCCACCATTCAAACTGTTATAGTTTGGCTTTCCTCCACCATTAGCACCGTTACTCTGCTGCTGATAGTGTTGTTGCTGCTGCTGATGATGATGAGGTGGTGGTGGCGGTGGTACCGGTAGTTTTGGATAGAGAGCAACATCATTATTATTAGCTACCAGTGCTTGTTGTTGTTGATTGCCATTAGTAGTAGTTTTTGATGATTTAATTTCCCTATACTTTCCGTTTTGTGTTTTTGTTAACTCAATACGCGAATAGTCTTCATCTTCATCGCCGCCGCCATCGTTGTTGTGGTCATCGACGATGTTATTATAATTGTTAGTCAAATGATTATTATCAAAGTCTTCCTCAATTGAACTCTTCTTCTGATTTTTCTTCTGTTTCATCAGTGATGCCGACACTACAGCTGTGGATCCGTTTGTTGTTATCGACGACTTCAGCAGAGGTGCCACCTCTTCATCTTCTAGTCCTTCATCGACATCGTCGTCATCGCCACCAGAGATCAGATGAGAGTATTGGGCGTTGAAAAACATTATAACAATATATACCGCATATAATGCTAATAATGTCAATGACTCGACCCTTAAAGATTAAGTACCAAAAAAAAAAATCAAATTTAAATCAAAATCAATACCTAAACACAAAACAAAAAAGTTTTTTTTATATTAGTATTTCTATTATTATTATTATTATTATTATTATTATTATTATTATTATTATTATTGAAATCAATTTAATTCAATGGATTTTTTTTTGTTTTGTTTAGTCAAACAATAGTAAGTATAACTAAGTTTTTGTTTGTTTTTTTTAAATTTTTTTTTAGTCATTAACTTAATTTACTAGTAGTTTAGCTAATAATTGTGAGTTTAATTAAATTTAATTAATACAACACAACAAAAATTGAAAGTTTAATTAAACTCAATTTGAATTGTTATTAATTTTATTATTTTTTTGAAATTATTTTTCTATAATTATTTTAGACTAAAACTATTATTAACATTCAATAAAATTTTTTAAATTTATTAATAAAATTAAATTAAAAATATATATAAATAATATGTTTGATATCTAAATTTATCTAATGTTAATGTTATCTAAAGTTACTATTAAATTAGATACCAGTAATAAATTAGCAAAAAATAAATAAATAGATAATAATAATTAGCCTAAAAAATAATAAATGTTATTTTCTATGTTTAATTATTATCGTTGTTTTTTGTTGAATACAAAAAAATAAATAAAATTAAATCTATTAAAAGTAATTTTTATCTTTATATATATATAAACAAATAATAATAAACTAAATTACAATTATTGGTTCAATCACATATTGAAATCACTAATATATTTATTTTTTATTTATTTTTAAACTGTATTTAGTAGTATTGTATATATATAGTTTATATTGCAGTAATTTAATACATCATTGACTTTCAATTGGATAAATCAATATTATATTTATTTACTTATATTTCACTTAAGTTTTTTTTGAAAAAAATATTATCTAATAGTATAATATATAATATAATACTTGATTAAATTCAAAGTCAATTAATTTATTATTTTTTGTTTGTTTAAGTAGATGTCTGTCTAAAAAACTACAGGTGCTATGTCTACATAATAAAAACCTAACTTTAGAAATTAGTTATACCTATTATATAACAATTTATACTGCAATAAATTAACTAATATATAACTACTTTAAAGATAATATATATATATAATTATGTCTTTATTTATCTCATATTAAATAATAAAATTAATTATTGCTTAATAATTTGTGTCAATTATTATTATTTTTTTGTGATATATTATAGTTTCATATGATATCATATATGATAATCATATCTCTATATAATATAATAAAAAATTAATTATATTTATATACGAAAGTGTTATATATTACTAATGTATATCATATTATTAATTGAAGTTCATATACAGTACAGTACAGGTAATAATAATAATAAATATGATAAACCTCTCTCTCTCTCTCTCTCTCTCTCTCTCTCTCTCTCTCTCTCTCTCTCTCTCTCTCTCTCTCTCTCTCTCTCTCTCTCTCTCTCTCTCTCTCTCTCTCTCTCTCTCTCTCTCTCTCTCTCTCTCTCTCTCTCTCTCTCTCTCTCTCTCTCTCTCTCTCTCTCTCTCTCTCTCTCTCTCTCTCTCTCTCTCTCTCTCTCTCTCTCTCTCTTTCTATGAGTGTCTATGAGTATGAATGTCTAGACTCTTGTATATATCAATACATAAATCACTTAAAAAAAATAATAATCAAAAAGAGAAAAAAATAATAATAATTTATATAAAAATTATTATTTTTTAAAAAATAAAATAAAAATAACTTTAAAAAAATTATATACAAACCAATCGACTTTATTATCTTTAATACATAATATCAATGTAATAACTGTCAGCACATAGAAGATCATATCCCTTAGTATGGGAAACGACTTGATTTTGGGCATACGTTTCAGATTCCAGTGGGCGGCAAACCCACAGCAGCCGGGTATGGCAATCAAATTGAAAACAGCCGATCCGACTATAGTACCGGTACCGATATCGTTGTCCGATATGAACACACCGATAACACTGGTAAACAATTCCGGTGCTGACGTACCGATAGCCATGAATGTAGCGCCGGCTATATCGTCGGGTAGACTAAGGGCTATAAATATATAGATATATATATATATATAGTGTTATTTTAGTGATTGTATTTTTTTGGGGGGGGGAGGGAGTGGGAGGTAGGGGTGATTGGGTGTCAGTGTGTCATACCGTTACTGATATATTCGAGCGACTGTAGGAAATAGACATCGCATACGATGGCCAGTGCCAGACAAAAATAGATAAATACTATTATATGGATAATGAAGCCGCCATTTGACCGAAACTATATAATAATAATTAACAAAAAATAAAATATTTAAAAATATATATATATATAGTCTAATATTTTTTAAATAATTTGCAAATCAAATCAAATAAAAAAAATGATCTAGATAAAAATTATTTTTTTTAGCTAATTATAATTTTTTTTAGTAATAGTTTTATAATTATTTTTTTATTAGTAATTATTTATAATTATTTTTTTCAACAACAAAAAAATATGATAGTTAAAATAATAGATTTAATAGTTTATTTTTATTATCTAATTATTATTTTTTTTAAATTTATTTAATTAATATATTTATATATTTAATAGATACTACAAAAAACTTAGTTAAATATTTATTTAGTAACAATTTTTATTATCAATTATTGATTTATATTATTTTATTTTTTCCATTATCAATAATAATTGATGATAAACATTATTGATTTTATTAGAAAAAATTATTTAGAAAAATTGCTATAATTAGAAATATCCTACCCAGTATCTATTTAGTATATATATATATATATATATATATATTTGTATTAATGATAAAATTTATAATAATAATAATATGTTTACTAACCAAGATAATTTACTAAAAATTTTATCATCTAACCCTGAAAATAATATATATCTAATTTTAAATTTTAGTATACAGTATATTGTTTTTCAAGTACAGATAATAATTAAATAAATCAATTTTTTCTAAAATAATATTTTACTAATAAATAATACATTAATGATTATTGAATGGAATATTTGTAAAAATTATCTATATAAAAAAAATTTATTTTTTAAAAAAAATAAAATAATTTATCTATATCAATAGTTATATAAAAAATTAATTAATTAATTAGATAATCTTTTATTATAGAAATTATAAAATTAAAAGTAGATATCGAGAGTTGAATAATAGCCAAAAAAAAATAATAATTTTTGAAAATAAATTTTAGACAAACAATTTAATGAATAATAAAAATTAACTCAAAAAAATATATGGAAAATAATAACTATTTTCAAAAAAATATATTGTTAACTAAATTTTTTATTATTTTTTTTGTTTAAATTAAAATAATTATTAAATACATTTAAAATATTTCCTAATCATTTACCTAATTGCTATATTAATTTATATCTATATTTAATTTTATCATTTAATAATAATAATAATTATTATTATTAATACAGTATTACAATATCTATGAGCCATTTAGCGCTATCTTATGGAAAAATTATTTGATTGAGGATTTATTTTCAACAATATATATATATATATAATAGTTATCAATAGTTAAGTTGAGAAAATAATAAAAAAAATTACTATAATTATTAACAAACAAATTACAAACAAAAAAAACACAATCAATAAATCAATCAATTATTTTATAACTATTATAGATTAAAAACAAAATTACTATTTAATAAAAAAAAATCACTAATAATTACAATTATTTATTAATTTATAACACATAATAATGTATTATCAATATTAATAAATAATAATAATAATTAAAATTCACTGAAATTCACTGAATTGCACTTTTAGTTTCAAATCAATAAAACAAAAATTTATACTAAATTTTTTTCATATATAAATTGAGACAATAATTAATTAATTTTTAAACAACTACTAAAAAAACTAATTAAATAAAAATATTAATAATTTAATATAATTGTTATATTATTGTCAAACAAACAAATAAAATGTGATTTATATATATATATATATATATATATATATATATATATATATATATATACAGTATATACAGTATATATAAACTAGACATTAGACTGACCTCATCGCTCATGTAGTCGGAGGGAAACTCGTCGAGCGGTGTCCGGACAGTACCGACACCGACATTGGTTTGGTTTTTTGATTTGGACTTTGAATTAGCTGATCGGCTAGTGTTTCGGCGATTTTTTCCCAACGGTGCCAAACTATCGGCCTGTTGTTTGCCAACCAAATTGAATGCCCGGGTAGTGGTAGTGATGGTCGGCGGCTGCGGCGGCGGTAAAGTGCTGTCTATTACCGTATCGTTAGTATCTCTCGGCTGCCGTATATTCACAGAAACGGCCCGCTTTTGCCGCTGTTGGTGGTCAACGCTTGCCGACGGCAACTGTCGGCGACTATTATTTTTGATACGATTATTATTATTATTATTATCGGTACTATTATTATCTGGTAATTGTTGTTTGGTTTGATACCGAAAATTGGCCACATTTTCGACTACTACTACTTTTACTACTGGTGGCCGATTGTTGGCCACTACTACAGTATGGTGGTCGACATTACCGTCTAATTGTTGTCCATCATCATCGGCAGCATAGTTGACGACAACATGTTTGCCGTTTATGATAAGCGCCGGTATTATTGAGACAATCAATAGTAGTTTAACTAACATTTCACTTATACTGTAATTTATTTTTTTTAATATATTTTTTGATGAATATATTTATATTTTATTTACAATAAATATATATTAGATTAACAAATGAGAGAAAAATAATAATAATAATAATAACAAAACAAACAAATCAAAAAATAATTAATTAATTTAATAATTTTTTTTTGATTTTCTTAAAAAAAATAAATAATATTTTATACAAATAATAATTAATAATCTAATTATTATTTAGTATTATTATTATGAATCAAGAAACCTATTAAAAACTTATTATAATTATTATTAAACCTATATATTAACAGTTGAAATGTCTGTATTATTATTAAGGGGGAGACTAACTATTATTACTAATAATTATTATTAATTAAATACAACAAAAAAAATTGATAAGACATTTGTTTGATAGCACTTAAAAACTAACTAACGTTTCAAATCTCTAGTGACGCAAAATTGATTTTTAATACCACTTCATATATATATATATATATATATATATATATATATATATATATATATATATATATATATATATATATAATATCTATTATATTATTATACATGTGCTCATGTAGTAGAGGATCGGGTCAAAAATCATAACTACCGGTCCATACATACACACACACACACACACATACACACCAACATTTTGGACGAATAGCCGATTATTTATTAATATTTATTTTTTTATTATCAATCAATCAAACAAACAAATAAATCATTTGTTAACCATGTGATTGTGATAATCATAGTTAATATTTATATATCAATATATATATCAATATATATATATATATATATATATATAGATATAATTATTACTAATTTTTTATATATAGCTAATTTTATTAGCAATTTTATATACAGTACTACAAAATCATTGTTTGCCTATTGATTAGTTTTTGAAGATTTTAATTTATCAGTCATAATATATTTAATTAACTTTAAGAGATTGTTATTTATATATATATATATATATAAATATATATATAAATGATAGATAAATTTTTATTATTAATTATTGATTTTTAGTTTACCGACACAAATGATCACAAATATCATGTTTTTAAAGTTTAATTTTAATCATTTTATTTTATTTATTTTTTATAAATTTTATTTATTAAATTAATTTCTAATTGTATTATTAATTTTATTAAATTGATAACAACAACAAAAAATGTCTTACAATTAGATTTTTAACATTAATTAAAAAAATATATATTTATAGTTTTTTTGTTGTTGAAGTATATTAACATTTATAATATACTGTAAGTTTATTTTATTATTAAACATAATATTATTATTTAATTTAAAAAATAACTACTAATAATACAATCATTTTCTACACCATTAAAGCATTTAATTTACAGTTTAGTCGTTTATATTATTATTATTACTGTATTATTATATATCGATTAGAGTCATGAAATCAATTGATTTTTTTTTTGGTATGTCTTAAGTCAATAGGTCTCTCTCTCTCTCTCTCTCTCTCTCTCTCTCTCTCTCTCTCTCTCTCTCTCTCTCTCTCTCTCTCTCTCTCTCTTCAATTGAATTGATAAGATAGTAGACAATCAAACAAAACAAAACAACAAAAAACAAACACAAAAAAGTAACAAAAAAAAACATAAAATACTAGAGAAAGAGAGCAATAAATATTAAATTGTTGTCTAATCTATAATTGAATGTAATTTTTAATTTTAATCGACAAAAAATCTTTAGTTTATTTTTTTGTTTTTGTTTTTTTATTGTTTGTTTGATTGTTAATGCAATTATTCAATCAAAAAGTTTTTATCAATTATTAGCTAATTTTTTGTTTGCTGTTATTTAGTCAATGGTATATGTGTTTAATGTCTGTAAACAATATACTGTAATAATTAGATATATATATTATAAGTTTTAAGTCAATTTTTTAGGTATTAAATAATATGATGATAAATGTATTTATTTTTTAAAAAATCATAAATAATAAAACTATGCATAATATACTAACAATAATTATAATATAAGTTACAATTTTATACAATTTATTATATATACAATATATAATACAATATACTATATATTAAAATCTACTTTATATACGATATAGTAATAGTTATGCATTTAGTTTATTTTTTTAAAAATAAAAAATAACATATATTTAAATATCTTAAGTAATAAAAAGTTATTAAAAATGTTAAAAATAAATACAACTTAATAATTGACAAAACTAGAAATTACTAATAAATTTAAACCAATTAATAAAAATGTTTAATTAATTTTGTAGACTTTATCAAACAATATATCGATAAATACGAGATTAATACTACTATTTGTTATTACATTGTCTTTATCGGTAAGTTATTATTAGAAATTATTTTTAAAAAATAAAATTACGTAACAATACATAAAAATATTTTTTAATTTAAAGTAAAAACAAAATAAGTAGAAATTAAATCTAAAACAATCAATCAGTCAGACAGTAAATCAATCCATCCATCCATCAGTGGTTATGTCATCGATAACGAACAACTCAAGACAAGATTTACCGAAAGGTCGAAATCGGGAATCGTTTGATCAATTTGATGATGAATTGGCCGAATTGATACTCAGTTATCTACCGGTCGAACAATTGCTTAAATACGAGTCAGTGTCCAAACAGTTTCAACAGTGCGGCTCCGGTAGTCTAACCAGTATTCATCTGCCGACCGAATGGATCAATCATATATGCTATCGGTATTGTCAATGTTGTGATACACCTGAAGAAAAATTTGCCAAACATTTGATGAAAAAGTATCCGAAAATATCTTCAGTCCAATTGTACGAAAACAACAATCAAGTATTGATGTCAATCATCAGCAATCATCGGCAACTATGGCCACATCTCTGTAGTATCGAAAACTATATGTTAGTTAATAAGAATAGCCGACTCTGTGACCAACAATTGGACACCAATAGCCTATTGCCTGTGGAACATATGATACGAACACTTGATGTGTCGTCCGATTTGGTAATCCATGGACCAAAAACATGGCTCAAACAGTTCAGCCGATTAGACAATCTGACAGTCAAACGTATCGGCAATGTGTTTGCCGATGACGACAGTAAGGAACTACTGGTTAAGGGATTGCAATCGTTTAAAATTGACGATTTGCTTGAGCCGCGATTTGTCGACCAGTTTCGGCAATTTATTGCCGGTAACATTGGTCTCAGACGATTGGACACCAATTATATACCGTTTACTGATGATGACGACACCAGCGAAGACAAAGTCAAACAATTGTTTGAACACATCTCGCGGCTTAAAAAACTCTATCAATTGGATACTTCATTACATCTGTTGGCTTTACCATCAATACCGGATCCATTGCTACTGATTGCCAACAATTGTCTACAATTAAGTCGTCTAAGACTACAAATCTGTTACGATTATGAAGAAATTGATTTGAAGGCATTTATCCGGACATTCAAATCAGTCAAACAAATGCATCGTTTGAAACATCTTGATCTCGATATGGTTGGCGAAAATGATTGGGACAACAGTGACATTGATTTGGCTGAAAGACATTTGTCAACCAAACAGATGACTGATTTGCAGTTAACACCGAAATGTTGGCCACAATTAACACATCTGAGAATTGGCGGTAAGATTACTAAACTAATAGTCAATCAGCCGTTTATTGCCAATCTATACCTAAATCTACCGCGACTTCAATATCTAGAAACCTGTATCCGTTTGAATACAGTAGTCGTCAACAACGGACCGGAAGTATTGCAGTCATTGACAACAAAGATGCCATCAATGCAGAGACTTGTCGTCCAGAGTCTAGTCTTTGACAACATTACTGAGGATCTGGTAATGAAATCAATGGACAGACAACGGTCTAAATTGAAACTGATTGACATTACAGCCGTTGATTGGACACAACCAAAGCCCAGCCAACCGTACGATCCGATGATTACCGATTCGTATCGACTCATATCCATATCCAAGTAATTAAGTGAACAATCAATCAATCAGTTAATTATGATATCAATTGAATTCAATTAAATAAAAGTAAAAAAAATTCAAGTGAATTTAATAATAATTTAAAAATCATTAAATAAAAAAAAATTCAATCAATATATAGAAATATATATATATATATATAAAAGGGTTTTTCATATATTTAGCACATGCGGTTTTTGCTATAATTCTTAAACGGAGTGAGATATATTAATTTTGTAAAAAGTGTATTAATATATGATTTACGCGTGATATTATTAAATATTAAATTTTTAATTTTGATCACGTGATCATATTTATTTTGGGATGCTTGCAAACCACTATGTCAGAACCTAATCTATAAATGATAGAATAAAATTTCAATTATATTTTTGTAAAGCTAACATTGAAAATTTACGGAAAGAAAAAATTTTTAATATTGGTCGAAGAATAAAATTTTTATGGTTTTTCAAACTTGTGGAATAACACATTATATAAAATAGTCAAAAATAAAATGACGTAATTTATGGATAGTAGACACTAATTAGATAAAGATTTTTATACTATTACTTATTCTAAAAACAAAATTTTTTTATGTCGAATATTTTTTAAAATAATAAAATTTAATTACAAATTACATTATCGAATTACTATGTTGTGCTTTTTATTGTAATTTGAATATCTAAAAAAATATTCGACATAAAAAAATTTTGTTTTTAGAATAAGTAATAGTATTAAAATCTTTATCTAATTAGTGTCTACTATCCATAAATAACGTCATTTTATTTTTGACTATTTTATATAATGTGTTATTCCACAAGTTTGAAAAACCATAAAAATTTTATTCTTCGACCAATTTTAAAAATTCTTTCTTTCCATAAATTTTCAATGTAAGCTTTACAAAAATATAATTGAAATTTTATTCTATCATTTATAGATTAGGTTCTGACATAGTGGTTTGCAAACATCCCAAAATAAATATGATCACGTGATCAAAATTAAAAATTTAATGTTTTATAATATCACGCGTAAATCATATTTTAATACATTTTTTACAAAATTAATATATCTCACACCATTTAAGAATTATAGCAAAAACCGCATGTGCTAAATATATGAAAACCCCTTTTATATATATCAAAAAATACATTGTACAGCACTGGTATGGGATAGTTTAGTTACTAGACTACTAGACTACTAGAGTAACTAGACTCTAGTAGTAGTAGTACTACAGTATCTACACATACATTGTTGTATAATATTTGTTAATCAATCCCTGGGCATAGCTAACAGTATTGCAGTGAAGTAGCTATACTACCAGTCCATACAATATATTGCTGTTTATACTAAACATAATTATTTAATATTTATTATATGATTTAATTTAAAAAAAATTAAATTAAATACAAATTTAAAAAAACTGTAGATAATTATTAATTTTAAAAAAATAAATAACTAAATAAATATACTATTATATGATTAAATTGCATTTTTTTTATTTATTTGTTTGTTTAATAATCAATTTAAATACTTATAGCCAATATTGTCGACAATATCGGGTATTACCTGTATAATATAACTTAATTAATGGCAAAACTAGAAATACTAATAAATTTATAGCAATTAATAAAAATGCCATAATTTTGTAGATTTTATCAAACAATATATCAATAAATACAGGATTATTAATACTACTAATTGTTATATCATTGTCATCATCGGTAAGTTTTGGTAGTTTTATAGTTGGTTTACAATCAAACAAATCGACAGTTGGTTTCATATTACTATTTCTACACTAAATTAGTTATAATAAAACAAATTATTAATAAAATAATTACAATTAATATTATAAACAAAAAATAATTTATTTTACTCATTGATTTTGATTACTACTATTAAATAAACAATAATATCCAATATACCGGTGCTTAGCAAATACAATGCCCTCATTATCATCGGACTCAAAGTATAGCTATAATCCTAGTATATAGCTATAATACTGATCGTCAGTATTGTCGACAATATCGGGTATTTCCTTACTATGGGTAGTATTGTTGCTGCTATCAATAGCTATCGGTAACTTCGGGTCATTGAAATCATACAATTGATGGCTACGTTTGGCTATAACATCACTATTATTATTATTGACTTGCGTTTGAAACCATTGTGTAATAAACAATACATGTGTGTCTACCTGAGCCCTGTATAAACTAAAAGCTATCGAACTGTTTCTGAGCTCAGTTAGTGTAAAATTACCGATATTGGCCTTGTTATCACCACTAGCGGTAGCGGTACTATCGTTGGCCGACAAGCCAAACGGTCGGCAAAACAGCAAAACGCCGCCATTGTCATCCTCGTCGGGACCACCTTTGCAATCGTCATCGCACTCTTCATCTCTATCTCCGTCGTCATCCTCTTCTTCGACGACAACAACCGATTCATCGTTTTCGTCGTCATCCGAATCTTCGCCATCCAGACCGCCGTTTTTCACTTCAATATCGGGTACCAGAAAATATTGCAACGGATTTGGCCACATATTGTCTTTGATTACTTCGGCATTATCATCGGCGGATGCGTCGCCGGATGTGATGAATGTACGGGGAAATTCCATCTGACGTTTTCGCGAAGCGGCCGCCGATGAAGACTTGGCGTTCGTATCGTTTTCATTCTTGTTGTACGCAGACTGTTGGTCCTGTAGTCGTTTAGATAGATCCGAATTGTCTCGCCATTTGATGGTACCATTGTGTACCACTGGTGGCGGTGGAGGAGGTGGTGGCAGCGGTGGCGGTGGAGGAGGTGGTGGCAGCGGTGGCGGTGGAGGAGGTGGTGGCAGCGGTGGCGGTGGAGGAGGTGGTGGCAGCGGTGGCGGTGGAGGAGGTGGTGGCAGCGGTGGCGGTGGAGGAGGCGGTGGTGGAGGAGGAGACTGTTGTTTGCTACCGGTGTTCCCATGCGATCCTGACGCCGAGGCCATTTTTGTATGGGAGTGTAATAACTCCCACCAGTCCCTCGGCGTCGTCGTCATGGAAGACAACCGGATCGTCCAACGCGACGGACCACCGGTAGTGCCGATTGATGTCCCGAACTCGTCTACGTATTTCCATCTCATCGGCCTGGAGACAGGGCGAGTGTCGGCGGTTGGCCACGGCCTTAACAATTGCCGACAATTGATCCAAATAGGCCGCAGCCGACCTATCCCTGGCCACCTGTCGCTGTCTGGCCGCGGGATCAATAGCTGCTGATCGTGGTGGTGGTGGTGGTGGTGGTTTTTGCGTCGACATGTCATCAGTTTTTGTTGTTGTTGCTGTTGTTGAGTGTCTTTGTGTGGATAGTCTTCAGAAAATTTTGATACTAATAGTTTTTTTTATTTTTTATTTTTTGAAAATATATTGTTTAAAATTTTTTTTTTAAATCATGAAAATAATATTTAATTTTTTTTTTGTATAATTTAAAATTATATAGTCTGTCTAATATATTTTCTAAACACTTATTTCATTGCCTATTATCCAACGTTTGTCCATTTGTATGGTCAGGGAGGTGATAGTGGTGGTGGTGTTGACCAACACACGGCTGCCTTTATGTATACCGTATTCAATGTGGCCCAGGCAATATTTCTGGCCCTATTGGTACCAGTGGTCAACTATATACCGGTAGACATATTTCTATCGGCTACACTCGGACTACTTGTAATTGGAGACATTATCATATGGTCGGCCGGCACTACCACTGCAGGCTATCTATGGGCTTCAAGTATATTGTTTGGCATCGGTATAGGTCCCAGTTCATCGCTAATCTATACACTGACAGAGACTATAGCACCAGCAACATCACCAACAGCACCTGTATCAGCAACTATGGGTGCCATAATCAATCTATCGATGAACCTGGGCAATTTGCTATCACCATTAATTGTTGGCAAATTTATAGAATCCAATCCCATTGTGTTTATCTACAGTATATAACACTGGGCATTACACTGGCCATAATTATATTAGTTGAACTAGTTACTTTATTGAAAAAATATATAAAGATTACTTAATAGATTAAAATATATTGAAATATTTATTTGTAAAAATTAATATACTGTAATCAATTAATATTTTTTCACCCATTAAAATAACTACAGTATTAAATACATAATATGTTAATACATAATAATAACAGGATAAATCATAAATTATAACAAATATATATTTTTTTAATTATATTAATTTTACTACCAATTATTTTATGTATTTTTAAAAAACTAATTTAACTTAAAAATTACAACAATAATAATTTTTTTTTAAATTAATAAAAAATAATACTTTTAAAAACACTTTACTACTAGTGAAATAAATTAATATTAATACATATATATTATAAATATAAGTAATAATAATAATAACTAGTTGTTAATAAATTAATTATAATGCAAATATTATATATATATATATATATATATATATATACATTTTGTTTAAATATATAAATATTTTACTAAATAACTTTTTTTCTAACAATAATAATTATTTAAAATAAATATAAACAACAAAAAATTATCAATGTTTCATAAAAAAATTAATATTTCTAGCATTGTTTAATTATTTAAATAATTAATAAATGTAACTTTATAAATAAAAAATTATATATCTATATTACTAAATTATTTTAATTAATAAACTAAAAAATAATTACTAATTAATTAATTAATATGCCTGAATCATTTAGCTACTCGTCAACAATAATAATATATAAATATATTTTGACAGCAATCATATGCATTGGTTTGTTTATAATTATATGTAATTATTAAAAATAATTATATTTAATAAAAAATATTATAATTTTTTTTAATAAAAATGAACATTATTTCATGGATTACTAAATTATCGAACAATAATTATTTACAGTATTTATATATACATATTAATTAAATTTAAAAAAATATTTTATACTATAATTATTAATAATTAATTTTAAATTAATTTTTTTTATTAAAATAAAATAATATTAGATTACAGCCGAAATGATGATCTCAATGATGCTCAACGATTTGGCTCACATTTACGGCACCGATATATCGGGTATTTCCGATAATATGTCCATTACTAGCGGTGTTTGTTTTTTAAGTTGCATTTGTAAGTACTGTAAAATATCTATTCATAAAAAAATAAATAAATAAAAAACCTTTTTAATAAATAAATTAATAATTTTAAATATATATATATATATTATTTAGTAATACTAGCGACACAAAAGTTAAACCAACAATTGATTTACGCCATACTATTGATGATAAGGGGCGTAACTATAGCACTGATAGCCAGTTTACCATCACAGACGGCATTTACGATTGACTATGTGGTCTATACGATAGCGGCTACGGGTCAGCTAACATTGGCCTATATATAGCTGATGGACATCTGGGAGGATAACAGTGCCCCATATGTACAGCTATTGAATCTATCGATGACCGTTTCAAGCATATGTGCACCGTTAATTAGTCAACCATATTTGTCCAATATTGACTGGTCGCCTAACCATTTAGACCATTGTCCAAAACTATATACCCATGTACCATTTATTATATTAGGATCTACTAGTGCCGGGTAGGAAAATCTGATAATGTTGTCACAGTAACTAATAATAACAATGATGATGCTCAGTTATCTAAATTGTACATGGTCAAACAGTATGTTAATAACTGTGTTACTAATGTTCACCATGAATTGGCACCTAACAAATTGACCATGGTAGCTAATATGATATTTGCCTGTTTAGTTTATTTTATATATTTTCTAAACACATATTTCTTTGCATATAATCCAAAGTTTGTCCACTTTTATGGACTGGGAGGAGGTTTGACCAGCACACGGCTGCCTTTATGTTTACAGTATTCAATGTGGCCCAGGCAATATTTCTGGCCATATCGGTACCAGTGGTCAACTATATACGGATAGACATATTTCTATCGGCTACACTCGGACTACTCGTAATTGGCGACATTATCGTATGGTTAGCCGGCAGGACTACCAGTGCTGGCTATCTATGGGCTTCAAGTATATTGTTTGGTATCGGTATAGGTCCCAGTACATCGCTAATATATCCATTGATCGAGACTATATCATCAACATCAGCAGCACCAGCACCTGTATCATCAACTATGGGTGCCATAATCAATCTATCGATGAACCTGGGCAATTTGCTATCGTCATTAATAGTTGGCAAATTTCTAAAATCCAATCCCATAGTGTTTATCTATATAACCCTGGGCATTACACTGGCCATAATTATATTAGTTGAACTAGTTACTTTATTGCACAAAAAAAAAATAAAACGATTACTTAATAACTAAATAGTTATGTATTAAATATTTATTTGTAAAATTTATTTATTTATATATATCCATTGATCGTAACAATTGCCTCAGCACCACCAGCAGCAGCACCTGTATCAGCAACTATTGGTGCATCACAAACGGCATTTACTATCGACTACGTAGTCTATATGATAATGGCTACCGGTCATATGACATTGGTCTTTGTATGGCTGATTGACATCTGGGAGGCTAACAGTGCCCCATACGTACAGTTAGTGAATCTATCGATGACCGCTGCAGGCATAGTTGCACCGTTAATTAGTCAACCATATCTGTCCAATATTGACTGGTCTAACCATGTTTATCATGTTGATCATAGTCCTTAAATATATACCCATGTACCATTTATTATATTAGGATCTACTAGTGCCGGGTTCGGCATATTTACACTTATCCTATTTATAGTTAAGCCATACGTTTCCAATAATCAAAACACCCAGGTAGTTGTGGTAACTGATAATGTTGTTACAGTAACTAATGATGATGCTCAGTTATCTATGAGTACAGTGTTGATCATTGGTCAAACAGTATGCTAATAAAATTGTTGCTAACGTTATCAATGAATTGGCACCTAACAAATTGACCATGGTCCTAAACATGCTATTTGCCTGTAGTTTGTCTAATATATTTTCTAAACGCAAATTTTCTTGTCTATTATCCAACGTTTGTCCATTTGTATGGTCGGTGAGGTGGTGGTGGGGGTGGTGTTGACCAAAACACAGCTGCCTTTATATTTACTGTATTCAATGTGGCACAGACAATATTTCTGGCCATATCCGTCCTAATGGTCAACTATATACGGGTAGATCTGTTTTTATTGGCTACGGTGGCGTTTATAACAATTGCCGACATTATAATATGGTTGGCCGTCAGGACAACCAGTGCCGGCTGTCTATGGGCTTCAAGTATATTATTTGGTATCGGCATAGGTCCCGGTTCGTCGCTAATATTTCCATTGAGCGAAACTATAGCACCAACAACACCAGTATCAGCACTACCATCAGCAGTACCTGTATCAGCTACTATGGGTGCCATAATCAATATATCGATAAATCTGGGCAAATAAATTTTAATTTTTATAAAATTGATTTAATTGTTAACAATTAATCATTAAATTCTAATTATTTTTTATATAGATATATATTTCAAAATATTTAGTTAAAATTGTATAAAAATTCATTGAAATAAAAAATTAATAGAAAACACTAATAAACACAAAATCAATGTTTAAATGTTTTATGATTTATTAACAATATTGTACTATATTTTTACTGTATTATATATACAGTATATATATATATATATATATTTTAATGATTTTAAAATCTGTCCATAGTTTTCATCACCAGTTCATCAGTAATGTTGTCAAACACTAGACTCTGGACAACCAGTCTCTGCATTGACGGCAACTTTGTTGTCAATGACTGCATAATTTCGGGTCCATTGTCGACGACTACTGTATTCAAACGGATATCGGTTTCTAGATTCTGAAGTCGCGGGAGATTTTGGTATAGATTGGCAAAGAACGGCTGATTGACTATTAGTTTAGAAATCTTACCGCCGATTCTCAGATGTGTTAATTGTGGCCAACATTTCGTTGTTAACTGCAGATCAGTCTTCAGTGTTGTCGACAAATGTCTTTCGGCTAAATCAATGTCATTGTTGTCCAAATCATTTTTGCCAACCATATCGATATCAAGACGTTTTAAACGATGCATTTGTTTGACTGATTTGAATGTCCGGATAAATGCGTGGACATCAATGTCTTCATAATCGTAACAGATTTGTAGTCTTAGACGACATAATAGTCGACAATTGTTGGCAATCTGTAGCAATGGATCCGGTATTGATGGTAACGCCAACAGATGTAATGCAGTATCCAATTGATTCAGTTTCTTAAGCCAAGAGATCTGTTCAAAC